TATATGATTGAATATGGTAAAGATGAACATAAATCAAAATTGGCTAAATATTTGAGTGAGGAGCTTGATGATGATGATAGTGATGACTTTGATGTTTTAACTTGGTGGAAACTCAAAAGCCATAGGTTTCCTATCCTTTCCCATTTAGCTCGTGATGTATTGGCGATTCTTTTATCCACAGTTGCTTTCGAATTCACTTTTAGCACTGGTGGTCGTGTGCTTGATGCATATAAGAGCTCTTTAACTCTTAAAATTGTGCAAGCCCTTATTTGTGCTCAAGATTGGTTACGTAGATTTCTAATCTTGATTCATTTCAATCTAAAGATGATTTGACATGGCTTGACAAAATGGATTTAGGTAACATTTTATTTATACCATCATTTATTTTTTAAGTATTATTATTATTATTTATTTGTTTAAAGCTTACTTTTGTTATTTTTTGTTTATATATTTTTAGAGTTGTCAAAAATTACCTTAGATCCAGTAATTGATTAAAAAAAAGGTGCATGGACCTTTTGAGGTAATTTTATTATTAATTTCTATAAATATTTGCATTTAGAAAATATTTATTTTATTCTTTGACAACTAATTAAGGTTTTGATCTCGTTAACATCTTAGGAAACAATCAAAGATGTGTACCAAAGCTATGGGGTTCATGTATGAAGAATGTTGATAGAACTTGGAATTTCCTTTAATTAGCTTGTTTTATGTTTTTTACGAACTTTTATATCTATTTGCCAACTCAAAATGTCCTTAGCTTGTTTTGTGTTTTGTATGAGCTGTTAACTCCATTGCCAACTTAAAATATCTTTTATGTTTTGTACCAAAGTTATGAGAACTAATTTGCTTAATTTGCTTATTTAAATTGGCTTGTTGATCATTGAAAACTTGTTTATGTGTTGAAATGACAATATTATTTGTTGATGGCTTTATTTGTTATTTGATATATGTTAGAGTAATACTTTTTAAAACTTATTCTTTAATTTATTTTGATTAAACAAGTTTAGATGAGTATTTATTTATCTTTTTTCTTGTAAAATATTGTAGAAATTATTAAATTCTTTAGTGATTTAATTTGAATGGTATGTGAATTTCAGTTTTATTAGATTGAATTTATAGCTAAATAATTATTCAAAATAAGAAAAAAATGATGAAAAATTCGATTATTTAACCAAACTAACCGAATCGAATCGATTTTTGGTCGGTTTGGTTAAATTGGTTATTTAAAATTTTGTTGGTTGATTCAGTTACTAGTAGAATAAAATCGATTAATTCAGTTATTAATTTTTTCAGACCGAACTGATTGAATTGACTGACTGCTCACCCCTAGATAAGTTGATTTATGAAGAAAATAACAAATCATGTGAGGGAAATGAAAATTAAAAAGAAAAATTACAAAAGGAGATAATGTAATATAAATATTTATTATTTTGTATCATAATAAAATATTATTTACTTAAAAGGATTTTTGAATATACAAGATATTTATTATCTTTGTATTATAATAAAAAATTAGTTAAAAGAAAATTTTAATGTAAAAAATTAGTAAAAAAATGTACAATTAATAGACAATTACAAATTGATAAAAGGTCAAACTTTCATGTTTATTAATATATAGTAGAAAAATATTAAAATAAATCAATTATAAAGCATAACTTTTAAATATTCATATTTATCTTAATTTTTTAAGATTATTGATATCTGAATATTATAAGGTAGTTTTACATATTTTAAATTAAATACACATATATTATGTTTTATTTGCAAATATTATGATTTTATATTAAATTCATTATGGGGTAAAAATTAATTAAAGTTTTTTTATCAATTTAAAAAATTAACGTTTTTTATTAATTATTGTATATCATAATATTTATTAATAAATAATCTTGTTACAACATCCCACTTTCTAATTTTTCTAAAAAAATCTTCTTACATCAACCCTTTGTGTTTAGAAAAGAAAGAGAGAAAAATATCAAACTAAAAGAAAAAAAGAAAAAAAAAAGGAGTTGAAGAGGTGGACAACATTGACACGTTGAGTGACTAAGATGAGGTTAAAGTTAGGTTAAAAGTTTGCAAAATTTATAGTATGAATTTTAATATTTAAAATATTTATTATCTTTTGTATTATAATAATAAAATATAATTAGTTAGAAAAAATTTTAATATAAGAAAAACATTAAAAAAATATGTGCAATTAATTAATAATTACAAGTGATAAAAATTTAAAATTTTATATTTGTTAATTAATATAAGAGAACAAATATTAAAGTATATGAATTATCAAGCATAATTTTTAAACATACATATTTAGCTTAATTTCTTAAAGTTATTGGTAATTTTATTTTTTTTATTAAGCATACATATAATAAGTTTTTGAGTACATATTATAATTTATTCTTTGATAAAAAGTAATTATATTTTTCATTAATAAAAAATTGATATTTTTGGAAAAAATTGACATTTCAATTAATTTTTTGTCATAGAATTAATTAATAAATAATTTTATTGTAGTATCTTATTTTATAATTTTTGTTGAAGAAAATTCTCATATTTATGCTTAAAAAAAAAAAAACGAAAAGCGAAGAAGTGATGCGTTGGCGACACCTGAAGAAGTAAAGGAGTTGTCAAAGTGTTAGTAAATTTAATATGAATATTTTTTTTGTATAAATGATAAAACTTTAGAAAATAAATATATTATTTTTTATAGAAAAAGTGAAGGTAGAAAGTCAAAACTTAAAGTAAAAAAGTGCAAATGACGTGATTGATCATTAAAGGAAGACTGAAATGCTGTTTGCCTCTGGTATTATTCTCTCTTTTACTTTACTGTTTTAGTATTAGAGTTTTGCTATTTTTAAATTCAGTGGGGGCAAAATATAGAGTAATTAATTTTTTATAAAGTAGTATTTAAAAAAATAAAATATATAATTTGTATCTTAAATTTGTGAAAAATGTATAATTTATACATTGAAATTTTAAATTATGTATTATATTAATCAAAATTATAATTTCATTAATTTTATTAATTATATATATGTGATGTTTGATAAATATTTATGTATTTATCACATATATTATTGATATTTTTTAATATAAATTAAAATAATTATATATATATTTTTTGAAGTGTAAAAATTGTATAAGATAATCAATCATTTTTTATAATGAGACATATGTATAAAAGCTTTTACAAAATATTTAATATTTTTATTTAACAAATAACATACATATAACAAAATTACATTGGTTAAATATTATATAAGTTATTTAAGTTAACAATATTAGAATTTATATTCAAATAATATATTATTTGAAAGTTTACGATGTAAATTATACATTTTATTTGTTTAGGTGTCATTTGAATTAAAATAATACATCATTTGAAAATTTAAAATGTAATTATAAATTTTATTTTTATAAAAATCAATTTATATATTTTTTAAAATATAGGTATAAAAATATAATTAACTCTTTTATTAAATATTCAATGGGTACACGGATATCAGGGGCAGCTGCCCCACTGTACATCCGTCCCCGCATGCGGCTGTCGGCAAATGTGCCCTACTTACAACAACCATTATTTTTTCTTTTTCTTTTTAATTTTCTTCCATTCAACTACTGGCCGTCTGAATAGTTATACCATAATAGATACACTAATAATGATCTATACTTCCACCTCATCTCCATCACTTCTTAAATCAGATCTACGTAATAATTAATGAACCCCATGCACAACACAAGCATATAATGAACTCCAATTATATTCAGATTTGTTGCTAGGTCGAAAGCAAATGAATAAGATCATATATTGGGGTGGTGCATATATGTAAGAGCAAGTTAAAATTAAGCTGTTATTGAATACTAATCTGATGCAGGTGCCGAAGTCTGCGTTTATTATGGAATGATTGATGGCTAACAATTTACCACCAAGATCAGAAATTAGAGCCCTCTACCAACAAAAAGCATCCAAAGAATGCAACTCCATGCTCCGGATAAAGCTGCTGTCCAAGCCCTTGGAGGTACCGACATCAAGCTTTTGTTAGATGTTTCCTAATCCCGGACCTCGAACACGTTCCTGCTAGTCAAGGCAATGCAGATCAATGCGTCCAGGACAACGTCAAGAATACAACAATGTTAATTTTCAATAAATTATTATTGTTTGGCATATTAATACATAATTATGGTATGATAATTGTGTTTTACATATGTTTGAAAGGAAATAGGCAAGGCACTGATTACCAAGTTTTTTCTGAAATTACCAGGATTTTTCTGAAAATCTTTTCTGCTATAATAATGCTTACAGCAGACTGTCGAAAAGTTAGTCTTTCACCCCCGACAATCTTATTAATGGATTAACAATGATTTTGATTACCAGAAATTTAAATGTCTACAAAACTCCTTTATTTGGTTCTTTCTCTTGACATCTAATCTCCTAGAATTAGAAGTCCTTTTCTTTCACACATTTCTACTGGAGTAAGCAAAAACCATTTCACCTTTAGTCGATATCTTCTTTTTATTTATTTGTTGGGGTAATTTATTATTTCCTCCCAAAATCCTGAGGATCATTAGCATCTGTTCTTGTATTGGAGGATGGACTTGGAACTTGTGCCTTCCCCAACATAGTTGACTATAAATGTAGGGAAAGTGTTCAGCTATTATTGATCAACTCTGCACTGCATGCACTGCAAATATTATAGGCAAAACATATTGCATTTTCATAACAATATGTCTACCAAGAAATTAATTGAAGAGGAAACTTACAGAGGCTCTCCATATGACCACCAAGCTGCTTCATGCAGAAGCATACGGTGAGAAATAACATTCTCATCGTCATAAATGGAGTTCTCAAGAATAATGAAACGATTGGACATTTTACAAATAACTGCATGAGAAATTTCTTTCAAATACAAGCCAAATCTTTCATTGCACATTATTGGCACAAAACTCTTTCCAAATCCTTTTTCCACAAAAAGAAGAAAAGAAAAGACAAATGACAAAAGTAACAAACAAACAAACAAACAAGCGATTATCTATATAACTCATCAAATGCGGAAATGAGTTTTGACAGAAACGAAATTTTGCAGATTCACCAAACTAGCTCATGCCAACTTGACAGGCATGGCATCATAACACCGAAAAGGTCTTCCTTGAAATATGAAGCTGTTATAATTCTTGCATGTCTTAGAGCCAAAAGGGTAGCTTCCGTGCCATTTTATAACTGGTAAATGAACAAGCTTAGGTGGAATTTCATCCTCACTTAGTATTCTGATTTCAACATTAAAATTAGGCTCACATCCAAAGCTATGTCAGCTCAATAAAGTCGATTCATAGGGAGACTGTTCTTCTCATTGATAGTGAATGGTTCACCATTATAAGTAGACCAAAAAGAAAGTCCACCCTTGTATGGCACGCTATAATCAAAGCAAGTATCCAGAAATCCTACCCGTTGCCTTGGTGTGCTCATTGACCTTTCCTTTGCTTTTGCAGATTCTGTTGCAGCCATGTAAGTAGGAAAAACTGGAGAATTTGGGATGGAACTCTCATCTCCAGCCTTACTCTGCTGCACACGACAAAATGACCTTCTTGGAAACAAAAAGGGAGAATTTAATCCATCTTCATCTAACATATCTTGCCTTTGCAAATTTCTAAATCTAACATGAGGTGGACCATGTAATTCCCAGGTACTCAAATTTGAAGGTACATTTTGTTTTAAAACCATCACTCTTTCCGTTTTATTTCCCTCAGCATTTGCTTCTGCTTCCACAAAGCTGCTCCTCCCAGTTTCTTTGATGTGCACAGATTCATCAAGCATACGAGTATTTGCTCTCTCCTGAAGGAAAAATGAGAGGAGATACTCATGCTTCAGTTAACCTTGGAAAAAGAAAAAGGATACATATTCAAAAGCTTTCACTATTTGGGAATAGAATAGCCATTGAAGTGGCAACAATTGGTGTTTGTTCTTTTCCTTCATTCCACAGCAGAATAAAGCCCACTAGAAAAAACGGTATGAGATGAAATTACCCGATAGGAATATGAGTATTTCTTCATACGCTCTCTTTTGGTCATTGCCTCCTGCCTTCTCAACCATATGGCTTCAACGTCTTCCTTAGACAGCACACTGTCATTCCAACTTTTTTGACTGTTGCATTCATGCTTGCCATGAAAAAAATGTTGAGCGAGTGAACAAAGGTGCACAATTTAGAACCGGAATCCATTCAAAGTAAACATAGGTAAACATGCAGTCACGTTATATATGAATGTTTACAGCAAATAGACAAACAAAAAATGAAGCTTCACCTGAAATTGAATATTACACTAGAAACTAATCATAGATCTAAGAAAGAATTCAGTGGAAGATTAAAAAGGATGAGTATGAAATAATACTTACCCTGTCTAAACTACAAATTCTGAAGATAAATGCTCTTTGCATAAAAAATCCAATGAAAATATCATTATCTTGAAAGTATTGATTATTGTGGCTTATTTGTTCCTTAAATGTATTTTCAAAGATAGAAAGAATAGTTAAAGAAATAGTTTGACTTGAATTATCTAACATACTGTAATGTCCTTCGACCGCAACTCATCTTTGAGTATGAGGCTTTGTTTTCTCCTGCTGTCTTGACAGATTACTTTTGTTGTAGAAGTGCTCTTCTCCTTGACCTCTGGGTACTTTTTTTTACCAGAGTGCAAGCACTTCATATTTTTCATTGCTTGACGTCTCACAACTTGGCCACGTACAATGGCTTGGAGTTTCACCAGTCCCTTTAGTGCCCGTAGTGCTTTCCTTGCCTGTTCCAAAGCAACTTGAAAATCATATCAGTCCAAATTGAAGAACATGTAAAGATAATGATGCTTGATGATTTCTAGAGTTCCAAATAACCTTGCATAAATTTGCTAAATTCAAGCATCAAGGAAGCTGGCTGCTTAAATTTTCATTAAATCAAATTGAATACTTATCTGATGTAGGGATTCCAATTAGTATTTTAGCTATGCTGATAAAGGTTTTCTTACATTTGGAAGGGTTACTTTGTAGATGACTGACCCTTGTAGACGCTTGCAAATGAATACAACAATTACCTCAACCAAATCAACATGAGCAGAAATGAATTTAGATAACAAAGAGCAAAGATTTCAAAGGTAAACTCACCAGATGTGCCCGGAAAGCACTTTGGATCTTAATAGCAGCCCAGTTTCTATCCCTTATTGTGAAATGATGGAAAGGCTTAGAGGCACCTGCAAGACGGACGACCTCAGCTGCTGCTTGTGCAGCAGCAACTGCAGCCTCAGCTGCAGCAGCTGTTGCAATGGCAACATTCAAAGCATGCTTTCTTTGCTCCTCCGTTGCTTGACAAAATGATTTCTGTGGAGCTGGAAGTGCAGGGTGGTATTGCTTAAGCTTCAGTCTTCCAAAAACCCATCTCCACCTCCTTGATTTCTGGAAAGTACAACCGAATAATTACAAACAATGAAAAAAAGAGTACCAACAAGATCAATCAAATCTATGGTTCGGAAAGGGGCAAAAATAAATAGAAAAAGTAGTGTAAATGAACCTTTTCTGTTTTTGACTTTGCATCAGAAGCAAATATCTTCTTCACCCAACCAAACCAGCTCCGTTTCTTTCCCATTGAAAATTCATGGAAGCAATCTACTCAAATCCATTCCACACCATCTTTTATGCTTGAAGTCAGACCTTATTTTGAAGGGAAAAAAAAAAAACCAAGATTATAATAAAGAATACAGAACATCAGAAGAAACTGGAAAAAAAAAAAAAAAAAAAACAGGGCAGTTGAATAGAATTAACTGATATTAGGAAAACAAAATCATCTTGGAAAGAACCTATAAGTATCTACATCTACAAATCTAACCCAGAATTGAAAAAAAAAAATTTGTATATGCAAAGTGCTATTCTATCAAATATGAAAGTTCCTAACAGGTTGGAAACCAGCTCTCAAGTTACAAGTACAATCTAAAAATGCATCAGAATATTTAAAGAATCCTACTTTTCCATGAGATCAATCATAAAAAGAACACCAGTGAATTGAGAATCCTAGAAACCTGAAAAAAAAAAATAAAGAACAAGCAAAAACAGACCTGAATTCTTTGTTTCATGGTATTGAAATGACTGAATAAAACCCAAGGACGACCATCAGCACACATATTGATGATGATAATCCAAGTTGGTCATTGCCTTTTACTCCCACTATTGACGAAAGCTACTAAAGAAGAGTGGACTTGACAACATAAAAGAAAGTATGAAGTTTTTGCATTACCACATTAATTCATTTCCAATGATGTGGCAAATGCAGGTGCTTTGATGAAGAGTGAGTCATGAGTTAAGAGCAAGCGAGTGTGTTTGCCCTTTCTGTCCCAACTGTCGTTATCACAACTGCCCATGACCTCTTCAAATGTCTGTTTTTATGGAATTTACAGACATGTCCCTAGTTCATGTGCTTCATTTTCTTCATGGAAATTGGCACATTGGTCCCATCTCCTTTCCCTAGATAATGATAAATCGACCCCATGGACTTCCCCTCTGCCTGCTTGCTGGCCCATTCATCCATCAAAGTCCCATGTTACTTGTTAATTTGTCAATTAGCCAATCAAGATGCAGATTTCCAACATGACCCAAAGATTCTAATGGAAATCAACATGAGAATTTACTGAAGTTATTCATAATAATCAAAATGGATTTGACAAAATTAGATGATCAGAATAGAAAATCTCTAAAGATTAAATCATAAAAAATATTTACCTTATAATCTATTTAATAAAACAGTAAACTGCTCGCAATTATTTTTGCTGAAATTGGACACATCTAGACAAAACCGAAAAAATGACATGCTCTTGACCCACAAATCCAAATGATCACCCATTGAGTTGGTCCTTACTCGTTTTGTTAAGGGAAAGTTTCATTTAGTTAAATAAAAAAAAAGAAAGGGAAAAACAACTCTTGTTTCCTTGAACGTTTATATTTATGACATTATTATTCATTGATTTTTATTGGTGTTATTGGCTATGAGATTTCTGTTCCCCAAACATTTTTATATTTTAACCCTATTCAACATTTTTTTTAAAGTTGTTGTTTTCTATCTTGCCAGCTAAACAGGTTGAGACGTTGATTTTAGCACTTCATATGTCATATATTATGAGTTATCCTAAAATTTTAGGTATTTTGAGGTTGAGTTAATTACATTTTTGTATTTGAACTTTTAGAAAATGTACAAATCGATACTAAAAATATAAATTATATAATTTACATTTTAAACTTTCAAATAATGTATAATTTACATCCTGAACTTTCAAATTGTATATAATTTTAATTCAAATTCTAATTTTATTAATCATTTTAGTTTATATATGTAACATTTGACAAATATTATCAAGTTATATATTCAACACACATACTATCAACATATTTTTTTTAATATAAATTAAAAAATATATATATATTTATCTGAACTGCAAAAAATTTTCTAAGATTGGTTTTTTTTTTTTTTCATGTGACATCCACATAAAAGTTTTTATAAAATATTTAACACTTTTATTTAATAAATAACATGCATATGATAAAATTATAATGGTTAGACACCATATAGGATTAATTATCAATATTAAAATTTGGATTAAAATGATAAATTATTTGAAAGCTCATTATGCAAATTGTAAATTTTATTTCTTTAGGTATTAATTTGCATATTTTTCCAAAATTTAGATAAAAAATGTAATTAACTCTTTGAGATTTATGTTTAAATCTTGAAAAGAAATAATGAGATTTATAAAATGCAAGATAGCTTTTCCTTTCTATGCAAGTCAAGTCCAATGGATTTAATTTTTTTGCATAAGAAAATATAGTTTAAAAAAAGAAAAATTATAAATGTTGGATTTAAATTTCAAATTTATTGAATATTATTTTTTAAATTGATTGCATGAACCAACTTAATTGTTGAGTTCAAATTCAATTGATATTTTATATGTAACTTAAAAAGAAAAAAAAAATTTATGGATTGATATAATTACAATACTGATTAAAAGTTAGTATTTGTCACTGAATGCAATAAAACTTGAAGAACTAAATTCCATGCATATTTAGGTAATGTATGAGGTATTTCCATATAAGGATTAAAAGTTTTTTTTTTTTTTTTTTGCTAATTACCTGAATCAACCATGCTAATAATTTAATTGACATTCTAAACGTTGATATTTTAAGTGAAGTTTTGATTTGTCTTGCAAATTGCAATTAATATTTCATGCCCCGACATTATTGATGTTGCAAACTCTTGAATTTTGTGGAGGAGCTAAGCCACTGTTTTTAACGTTGCTTTAAGTCAAATAAGGAGGCCATAATTAATTTGGACGGAATATATATTTCCTTGACCTTACGAACTCAAAAATTGACCAACTTCATTTGAATATTTGAGTTAACGAAGTTGAGTCAAAGACTAACATGATATGTCTTAAGTAAATTTTTTTATATTATAGTATAGTATCAAAGAGAAAGTTTTTTTTTTTTTTAAATTACACTCTAAAAATAAAAATAATTATAAGGGTTAAAATTTAAATTTTAAAAATTATTTTTTAAAAATAATTATATAAAAAAATTAAATAAATTTATCCTATATATAAAAAGTATTTTAAAAAAAATAAAAAGCAAGAAGCGACAAAACTGTTATAAAAAGGATGGTTTTTAGGAGAAGAAAAAAAAGGGAAAATCCGCAAAAAATGCAACATCTTTTTAAGGTGTAGGCATCTTTTGCAATGTGGCTTTGGAGCTATGGAATGACCCAAGGATAAAAGTCAGCAAAATAAAGCAAAGCAATTCGTTAAACTTTTGCCCAATTCAGCTGCCATGAGTTGTCCTAATTAGACACATGAAAAAAGTTGCTTTTGAGCTGTTCACTGTCACAACCATCTACAATATGGCACATATTTGTGGAAGAGCTTGCGTTACACTTTAGATATGAAAGGCCAACTTTGCTAAAAAGATTAGTATAATTTTGTAGACATGATTGGTATTAATTCCATTTAAATTTGATTAATCAATTGTATTAAAAATTGTCCTGGTTTTGAGCACGCTCAAACTTAATTAATTTTTACAATCACTTAATTTTTCCTTTTAATTTTTTAATAGATAATCTAAATGTAAAATACTCATAGCATATACAAAATTGTTGATCTTAATTAGTCCAGTCATGTGTTACTGAAGTTTATAAGATTTACAAAAAAAAAATAATTATTTTTTTATTAAAAAATTGAGGGACAAATAAATTGTTTTGTAATTTTTTCACTTTACCACGAGCTTACATTTTAGATAACATCGAATAGAAATTATTTATGTTCAAATTTAAAAATTTTTTTATCATCAAATATGAATGAACGAATTAATCAATTAAATCAACTCTTTGATAATTAAAAGAAATTGTTGTTAGATATGAATGAATGAATTGATCGATTAAATCAATACTTACATAAGGGAGATTATTTATGTTTTCATATAATCTAAAAATTAGATATCTTCTTTTATCTAAATTTTAAAGTATAGTGTGTCATTAATAATAGTTGCATTGTTGAAATGACCAGTCAAACAAGATGATAAATCAACAAGTAAACACTAGCCAATGTAATGATTCATCTCTCTTTTTGAATTAAAAAACACTCCAAGTAGAAAATGATGAGAATGATCTGTGCTAAATTTCTCATGCCAAGAACATGGATCAATCAATCATCTCTTGCCATGGAAAAAACTTTTCTTTTCACAAAAAAAAAAAAAGAAGAAGATGATGAACAATATTAAAACTAGATTCCTGTTCTCTTTCCCCCATTTGAAGCCACCAACTTCTCATTACAATGGATATAAAGAAAAGGAGAAACATAGTTTACTATAACTGTCGCTATAATTAAACACACCCCATTTGCCAACATCAATGCATGCCTTTCCTTGATTGATTTAGAACAATTTATAAAAAGAAAATAATGGAGTGTTATAATTATTATCTTCGTTTCTAGATTTGTCTTGAAAAATGGGACTACCCTTTGATAATCATACCAAAGGAGAAAGCTTCGGCGAAGCTAGCTATAAATTTTTTATTTCAATGGTCAGCATCTATTAAGATAACGTAAACAAAAACAAGAAAGGGACCAATTCCGGAAAGAGCATGCACATGAAGAAAAGCATGCTATCATTATATGTAAAATAAACTACCTTTGTATGGAGCATAATAATATATTAAAACTAAGATTTAGAGTATACTTGTTAGTATTTATGCGAACTTTAAAAATTCATTTAATTTATTTGAATAATGAGTCATGACTCAACATGTTTAGATTGATCATAAAAAGTCAATAATTTAATCTCGTCCAATCCAAAACTAAAAATAATCTGAACTCAAATCAAATCAAAATTGAAATTGTTTAAATTTAAAATGATCTGAAATCAAAATAATTTGGACTCAAAGTTATCCGAAAAATTAATCCAAAATAATTGAAACTAAATTAAGTATAATTTTATTTTAAAACATTAATTTAATAAAAATAATAAACACAACACAAATAAAAATAATAAATATAAGACAAATGATATCTTATTAAAATTATTGAAAATGTCAAATTAATATATATGTTTTTAATATCAAACTAGTATAAATTATATTTACGTTGTGTTGCTTATAAAATTTCTTATAATTTATAATATGATTTAAAATAAATTATATATTTTTAATTATTATAGGTATACAAATCAATGTATATTTAGAAGAAATTATATAATGTCTTATAATTAGACATGGGTATAAATTATTTGATTTTTATACATTATGTTTATGTTATAATTATATTATTAATTTTTAATCATGTAATCTATAATAAATTATATTATGAGTTACAATTATATTAAAATCCAAAATAATAAACTACTAAATAATGAGCTAAAATTATACTAAAATGATTATTTATATTGTACTTATATTATTAATATAAAAAATAATTATATACTAAATGTGTATCCTAAATAAATATTTAAAATAATTTTTATATGATTATATTAAATAAGTAATTGTGATTATAATTAAAAGTTTAAAATATTTTTTTATATATTTATATTAAATTAAAATAAATATAAAAAACTATTAAACTTATCAAACGTGACAAACAAGTTTCTTGTGTATAATACTTGTGCTCATATGGAACAATTTAA